ATTTCACATTTTTCACAAATTCTCCAAGTGTCATGCTGTGAACCANGCTTTGTCCATAGCTGAGCCAAAATGTTTCAAACAAGTTGAACATCTTACAAACTCTCCACCAGTATGGACTGCGTGAAACTCAATCAGTGTGTATCCTTTAATGTGATACACTTTGGAGAATTTAGAAATCATAACACCACCAGAACTTCCAAAAATTAAACTTTCAGAACTGGCTAAACACTCTTGGTTGGACTTATCGTAACAAAAGTCTTCAACTTTTTCTACAAGTCCATTTTGAGTGAAATCATAGGGGTGAAGTATCTTTCCAACACTTGCACACAATGTTCCATAACCATTGAAGATATTGTCCTTCAAGAAGGATTCACTTGGAGCCCAGTCTACATAATTCTGACTGCTAGAGAAAGGAGGTTTATTCTCGTCTCCTGGATACGAAAGGGTAATAATTTCGTCATTTGGTTGCAAAATTCGTGGTGAGGGTATGAAAAACACCTTATTTGGAGAACCAGAGAAATTCATTGCTGTAATATCAAAGAAATCAAAGTTTCCTACAGTGGTAGTAATTGGATCTCTGCCAACCCAATTTTGGGTAACTGGAAACGATTTTTCCATTTGGAAATATTTGATTGCTTTTCCTGAAAACAAAGTTTCTAACTTTTTTGGCATTCCTGAGATTGTACTGTTAATGTTCCATGAGTTGTTGTACGCATTTACCTTACCAATGGATTCAATCTCATTAGCAACGTGGCTGTTTGTAATAATTGTGTTGGGAAGAATGTAAAATCCTGATCCTGAAGCCGTTTTAGTGATCTCACCAAGTTTCTTCATGGAGAATAATCTAACAACAGCACTAGCACCTTCCGAAGCACTTTCTAATGCTTTGAGATTATCAAAATATTCTACAGTGTACTTGCGTGGAATGAGGAAATTTTACTGTTGAAAATTCAGATAATATTTTCGCCGTGTTGAATCGTCGGCTGTTTATACCAAAAGACATTGAAGCAGGCATTTGGTGGATAATGTTCCTTACCAGGAGTACTCTGGGAAGAAGTATTCTCACAAACCTCCTCCCCAGTTCGAGGAATATAACATAACCACTTCAAGACGCTCTCTGACGAATCTCATTTTTTTTAAGGTTACTTATTAATTGTACAAGTTCTGTAAGTTTTTTTTGGTGATTTGGATGGAAACTTATATTCAATCACTAACAAATATATTGTCCTCTTAACGCTCATCTCGAGATTTATTTTGCCGAATACAAAAGATTATCACCTTAGATTCATGCTTTGCTTACAAAACTGTTTAAAAATCAACAACTATTAGAAATGATGTACAAGAGAGATTTCATTAATTGTATTGAGGAACCTGTTGAAACAAATTTGAAGCAATGAATGAAGAGTGAATTAATAAAACAAATTTACTTTCTAAAAATGGTACTAAGGTATTAAGGCTCTAAACGTGGTTCTGTGACTGTCACTCTGGCGACCCGGGTTCAATTCCCGGCACTCGAGATAACATTTTATGAAATTTTCTATGATCTTGAATTTTCACACAATTTATTTTCTTGTAGTGATTGTTTGGATATCTATCTTGGTAATTGTTTTGTTATTTTTTAAAACCTATTTGTATATCCTTATTTAGAATCCTCAGCTTTGACCTCATTTTTTATGAGGTTTTTCATTATTTTTAGTTCATACTGTCGATAGTTTAGATATCTTACTTGAACATTGTGTTTTTATTTTTTTATTATTCAATTTCCTTTTTTTAGAAGCCTCAGAGTTATGTCACATTCAAAAAGTTATTCCCAATAATCTGCTCCAGTGGAAACGAATGATTTGCTGATTGATCAGAAATTACATTACAAATACTTTACATTGATCTCTTTATTTCGTCATCAACGATTAAGCCCCACTTTCCTTTGTGTGTTATCCAAGTAATCTTTCTTCCTTCGAGAGCCATTTTGGCATATTTTGTCTTTTTGTCCTTGTTTTGTTCGATATAAACAATTTCTCCAATACGAACAAATCTACAGGCACCATCATTAGTTGTAATTTCATATTCAGAACCCTTAATTGTGACTGATGAAATTGTTGAGTTGTGGATAGCTTCGTGAATAGTTTTCAATTCCTCATCTGTCAATTCTTCGCCTTCAGGTCTGACAATTGCTGAATCAGAAGATTGTAAATGTTGTTGCATGTCTGGATTGACCATTTGGAATTCACCTGCTTCTCTATAACACAAACCTAAGAACATTGATTGCATAGAGTCCATATCCTTTAGTTCAAATCTCTTACCACCAGTTTCATCAGCAAGATATTGATAGAAATGATCAGCAT